AAAAAAAAAGAGAACAATAAAGAATTGTGCCCTGAGGGTAATGGTTTCGTGGCTATAAATACCCATCTTTGAGCCCAAAGCTGTGTAATTTGGCGCAAATCCGATGTTTGTCGCATGTAGAAGATCATAAAAAACAACTGTGATCGCGGTTCAACAACCGCGATATTCCCTCCGAAAGCATGAAGGCGCACCAAGGTATAGGCAAAGCTTTCGAATGTGGCGCACTGAGTTAATGGTCAAAAAATGATAAAAATAAAATGATAAATGTACTACTGGTAAATAGTAACAGGAAAAGCTTCATTATCGCAGATATTTATATTGAAAAGTTCATATAGGAATAACTTTATATATTATAAATGTACCGTTAATAGCGATTTTGAGCAATTAAACAGATTTGTTGAAAGCTCAGTTGATAGCTTTGTACATTAAAATTTAATTCTAACCTCCTTACCTTTTCTTCTTGAAAAATAATGACTTTCAAATAACTCCACCCCTTAATCTTCAGAACAGTGCTCCATTCATCTGTGCGTTGATTTACAGATATTAAATTTTAAGATTTTGGGATTCTCATTATAATTTGTTACTCTGTCTAAGCCTATTTGTTTTTTATATTTATTCAATGCGTTCATGTGTTTTCTATTGTTTTCTACTGGTTTTCTATTTTCTTCAAACTTTATAACTTTCTGTAACACCCTAGTCCAAACTCACTGGCGCGCCTCGGGGACCAGCGCATCAACATGATTCGTCTGTGTTAGAGGCGAATCTGATCATGTATAATTAATCTCCTAGTCAACACCTTAGCCTTGTCTATCTATTTGCGTTTCTTCCTTTTTTACTGGTCAGCGGCTACATTGTAATTACCAGAGCTTTCTTTTTTATTAGTTTATCGTTCCGACCGCGACGCATTTGACCGTTATTCTGTTACTACTATTATGCCTTTTCCTTTAATTATTGTGAAAGCTATTTTGAATTTTTGTTGTGCTCGTATGCAAAGTGCCATTCCTCCCCTTCCGCATCCTGACGTGCTGTATGACAATACTGTTGTATTTTGCACTGATCACCGAGGCTGTTTAGACTATTGAAGAGAAATTTCGTAGGTTACGCTTTTCTGATAAGCCATCTCAGCAACGTATCTCAGAGATAAGCTCGCCAAACTTCGGAATCGATTACCTCTCTCGGGAGTTTCGCTTTCGTAGTTCTCAGTTGTTGCCTCTAGTCTCTGTTAAGTCTTTGCTCATCGTAATGGACAGAATGACGAGGCACTGTTAGGAAACTCTTATGCGCCAACCGCAGGAAATAAGCCGCTGGTAATGGACATGGACACCTTAGAGGATATAACTTCCAACTGAATTCAGATGTTGGATTCTCTTCGTTCTTTACTCAACGATCTTCGCATAGAGGCTCTAGGCGATACGGTGAAAGAACGCTTGACATTTGAAGCAGAAATTCGAGATAGTCTCGAACATATGCAAAAGCATACTCTGAGTTTTCAGGATAATGTCATGAATGCTTTCTCCCGCAAAGCACAGCAAGGACGAAATAATAAGAGACAACGAAGGCTTCATCGAAGGAGTGATGGAAACGGATAAAAGTGAAGCGGTAGGTAACGAACCAAAATGCGAAGACCAAAATCAGGAAGATGATGATATGGTATCCAACGTGGAGCACGATGACCTTTCGGAGACGGAAGAAAGTGAAGAGGAGCCTAAAGAACAAGGACAAGAGGAGCGCGAGTTGAATGATGGAGAGCTGGGTCGCAACAATATTCCCGATGATAT